GGAGGAGAGGAGGAAGAGAGAGACAGAAAAGCAGGAAGGTGTGAACAGACAGAGACGACAAACAAAAAGCAAAGCAGAAGGCCGACAAAAAGGAATCAACATAAAAACACGGAAAGAAAAGAAGAGGATGAACAAAAGACAGAAATAAAGGAAACAGGAAGCAGAGATGGACGGACAGAAATAAAAACATGAAGGAGGAAGTGAGAGGCTTCACAAAATAAAGGATGGAAAGAAAACCTGAGAACGGACCTGAAAGAGAGACGAGAGGAAAGACCGAAGGAACAAACAGAGGAAGAAGGAGGCAGCTTTTAAATGAGCCGAGCATGTTTCCATCAGCCGCCGGTTGCCCTTCATCAGATAAAGACAGAAGAAGACCAGAAGCAGCAGCTGGCGGCACGGTGGAGACGTACTGCCATCTAGTGGCCAGCAGCAGCACTGATCCATCCCAACCAACCACAAACACATTCATCCCAGTTAAAATGACACATTAGAATGTAAAATCACTTTAATCATCATGGTCGGAGCTTCTTCGTCTTCACTTGATGTGCTTTGCTGTAAAACGCTGCTTCAGATCAGGAGCGTCCTGTGAACAGGCTCTGATCCGTTATTGATTTCCGCTGTTAAATCCACTTCACCGCTGAAGAGAAGCCGAAGAGACGCTTAGAGAAGAAGAAAGAGTTTAAAGCTTCGCTCATGAAAGAGACGATGGAGGTGAAAGGGGAGCAAACAGCAAAGCGAAGGATCAGATGAAGAGGAGAATCTGAAAACAAAGGCGGCGGACAGATTAAAGGCGTTTAATGGGAGCAGCGGTTTGTGTTTGTTCACTTTCAGCCTGTTCAGTTCGTTACAAAGCTGCTAAACCAAGTGTTTGTGCTGCAGATCAACACCTTCCTGTGAACAGACGTCAGCAGCAGCGTCTCGGGCTGGTTCCTGCTGACGCTGGACTAGATGATGCTTCAGCAGCAGGTTGCATCGTGCATTTCTGACCAACAGCCGCAGAATCTGAACAGTCATGTTCTGGTTGTGAGATCCGATTCAGACTTAAAGTTCATGATCGACCTGTGAGACACCTGACTGAGGTCCGACTGCTCGTTCATCTTTGTTCGGTCTCTGTTCTACGGGCCTCCATCAGAACATCACACGTGTGGTCAGATATTAAAGGATCATTCCAGTTTGTTTGGACCTCCTCAGTGTCAGACGGACTCTAACCGGGTCTCCTCTCACACATTCAGGGAATTAAGCAACATTTTGTAAAGAAGCTTCAACTTTGGAGGAAACCAGATTTTTACATGAAGAAACAGAAACGATGCACTGATCTCCATCTGTCTGTCTGCACAGAAGCTTCAGCATCCCGACGACGTCGAGATCCGTTCAGTTTGAACTCGTCTGTTTCTATTGAGTACACAGACAAAGAGACAGAAATACATCCTGAAAGACAAACAACCAGGGTTCTGATGAAGTTCTAAGGCTCAGAAATGATGGAAAAAGTCCATTAAAGTGATGAATCTGGACCCTCCTCTGTGGACTTCAAGGACCTGGACCTCTGGAACATTCACAGTCTGAAGGTAGAACTCTGGTCAGTAGATTAAGGTGCTTGAGGTACAGAACCAGGTGTTCTGTTGTTAAGCCACAGAGGAGCACCAGGTGAGCCACAGGGGAGCCACAGGGGAGCCATAGGGGAGCCATAGGGGAGCCACAGGGGAGCACCAGGTGAGCCACAGGGGAGCCACAGGGGAGCCACAGGGGAGCCACAGGGGAGCCATAGGGGAGTACCAGAGGAGCCACAGGTGAGTACCAGGTGAGCCACAGGGGAGCCACAGGTGAGCACCAGGCTCTGAGCGACCAATCACTGCGTCCATACCGGAGCATGTGTCTGATACACAGTGAGGAACAAACGTTTCCATCCACTGGTAAAGACCAAAGTCATGGAGTTTCCAGGGACTCCTAGAACGCAGGTTTTGTTGTTTCCAGAAGACCTTAAATAAATCTATGAAGAAAACAGAATTCATGATGTTTTAGTGACAAAGATTCAAGTTCAGTGGTTCCATCAGAGAAGATCCAGAGCTCCAGGAGTCCCTGGAGACTCCGACAGACGTGATAAACATGGCGTTTATGTGGATGGAAACTTTAATCCATGACTGTATACCTGAGAGAGAGAGAGAGAGTGTGTGTGAGTGTGAGTGTGTGTGTGTGTGTGTGTGTGTGTGTGTGTATCAGTGTGTTTGTTAGAAATGTTGACTGATTGAGCTGCAGTATGCTAATTAGAATCGTGACCCTTCAGAAAATAAAAACACATCGATAGGATTCCGTCCATCTCAGCTTGGCTCAGAGAGGAGAGATGGAAATCAAAAGTATTGATGAGACCAGAGGAGGAGGATGGAGGGAAAAAAGATTAAAGAAGAGGAATGTAAGACCAGATGATATAGAAGTGAAGGAAAAGAAGGTAAACCTAAGGAGACAAAAGACAAGCCAAGAGAGGGAAAAGAAAGAAAGAGAAAGAAGGAAACAGAGGAAAGAGGCAAGAAGAGCAGACCTGAAAGGAGAAACAAAGATTAAAGACGTGTAAAACAGGAGCGAATAAAGGAAGTTAAAGGGAAAGGAGAAAGACAGGTGTACGAAGAAAAGAAAAACTG